AAATTCTAAAATTATAACCCGACATTTCTGAAATTAACGATGACAACAAGAATTCCGTGTACATTTTTCGCATTACATTTTTTTCCTGAGACCCGAAGCAAATAAATCGGCAGAACTTCCATAAATATATACTCTAAATAAAAGTTGTTACTTACTAAGATATCTAATTGCCCGAATTTTTTGATTGTGCTTGAGATAACTTCTTCTCTTCCAACTGCATCAACCACGTCCGCAACTACGACGTTTATATCTCCTTCTTTAGCGCCAGCCTCAAGCATGGCCTTCTTGGTGGCCTAAAAAATTGCTTTAAAAACCGAAAAAGGTTCAATTAGGAATTACAAACCTCAAGTCCATCCTGTTTTCTTCCCGTGATAGTCACTTTAGCTCCTTCTTTTGCGAACAACACAGCTGTTGCTGATCCAATTCCAGAAGAGGAACCTGCAGGTGAATTTAGGTCAATATTTCTCTTTTACATAAGGTTATAGAGTACATACCGGTGATGATGGCGACTTTTCCTTGAAAACGTGGCATAGTGTCGAAGACGAGGAGATGGAAAGCTGGCACGCGCTTTAAGTAAACCCGGCGGTGATGATAAAGTTCTCAGATTGCGTATTTGTTCAGATCAATGATCATAGCGCAGTCGTTATCAAAGGGCAAGAGTTGGGAAAAGCTTAGTTGATTCATTGCAAGACTGCGAAAACCCTACAAAAAAGGGAAAGATAGGGAAGTTCCGACTGCGTGAGGTAATTTGTATATAGATGGGTTTTCAAAGAGTAAATTGCAGCAAACTATAGAAATATTGCCTCTTCAACTTTCTGTTTTCAAAAACGTAAGGTTTTTCAAACTGCTCCAATACATTCACAATTGCTCTAATGCTGATAAGCAAAACCATGTCTGTAGGCAAAAATTATCGCAATTCGTCCCTCAACGGGATAAATGACGAAAAATCAGAATAATAAGGAAGGTAGCTGATCAACCGAGTAAAGCCTGTCTAGATTTACCAAAATTGAAAAATTAAGAAAAGTACAAATTTTGCTGTTCCTATTCTTATTCCTTGTGTGGGTGAATTTAGGTT